GATCTTGCTGATAGCATCAGACATCTTTATCTTCATCTCTTTGGGTTCTGGTCACAGCTCAGCCACAGTCATCCAGGTTAGGTCAAAAGGCTACCAGCTGTATTTTTGGAAGTTCACACACACCTCCCTGTACTTCAGACCAGCTGGCCCCTTCACTCTCAACCCTAGCCCCCAGGGGTTAGCTAGGTCAGTGACTCAGGTGTTCGTTACAACTCCCTAAACTTCAGACCAGCCATGTCTTCCTCTTCTCTCTCATCTCAAGGTCAATGTTTTGTGTGACATCTGCTTTAGGCAACTCTAAAAGCTGTTTTTCCCTCCTCATGAAGGAGGCACATTTTTCCTTTCAGTCATTACAGGTAAATTCCCCATGCTCCTTAATTCTTTCTCTTATAAGACTTCATGAATCCTGCTCCTGATGCCAAGTGGGGACCATGCTCCTGATGCCAAGTGGTCCCCATTAGTGGGGTAGGAGAGAGCGAGAAAGAATTAGATTTCACCATGCGAATAAGCAAATCTTAACCCAAACTAACCCAGTCAAGTTGACACAAAACCTTAACTGTTACATCATGGTTTTTTTTCTATAGCATCATATGCATGTGCAAGTTGGACAATGAATAAGAAAGACTGTAAAAGAATTGATGCATTTAAATTTTGGTGTTGGGGAAGAATATTAGAAGTACCACGGACTACCAAAAGAACAAACAAATCTGTGTTGGAAGAAGTACAGCCAGGTTGCTTCTCAGAAGCCAGGATGGAGAGACTTTATCACTCATATTTTGGACATGCTATCAAGAGGGACTAGGCCCTGGAGAAGGACATCATGCTTGGTAAAGTGGAGGGTCGGCAAACAAGAGGAAGACCCCAATGAGATGGATTGGTACAGAGCAATGGGCTCAAGCCTAACCGTTATGAGACGGCGCAGGACAAGGCGGTGTTTCAGTCTCTTGTATATGGGGTCACTCACTATGAGTCGATACCCACTTGATGGCACTTAACAATAACACACACTCACAGTCATATATTGACTCATATTTTAAGCTACAGCCTGTACTTGCATACGAGCAATTGATGGCCTGTTCCACAGTCTACGGCTGGCCTTTGGTCTGATGATACTGATTTGTATACGGTTAAGTCATCAGTCTGCTCAAAGTTGAAGCTGATACCTTAATTTCAGTTCTTCCAAACAAGCCTTCCATTACATGCTCTAGAGTGTAGTCAGGTGAAAACACTTGCTCTAATTGCCACACCCAAAAGCAGGTGTCCCTAGTTAAACAAAGGCTAGTTTCTCAGGATAAATACAGCCCACCACTACCCTTGCCACTTGTAGGAAATTTGTGTTTTGTGTTCTGGTTTAGGAATTTCAGAATTTCCTGCAAGACTTAACATTTCTAAAGCCCTTCAGTTCACAAAATCTCATATCCTTTGTTTGTTAATTATGGATTGGTGAGATGTACTCACCCATTTGATGAGTGTCTACTATATGCTAGGCATAGCTCTACGCAAGCAATAACATCACAGGAAAAGGAGTGAAGAATGTTAGCACAGACTAGAAGACTGTACTTTTAAATAAGGTAGGGGTGAACCACCGAGACGGTTCCAACTCATAGCAACCCTGTATAGGGTTTCCAAGGATGCAAATCTTTACGGGAGCAGAAAGTCTCATTTATCTCACATGGAGTGCCTAATCGATTCAAACTGCCGACCCTGTGGTTAGCAGCCCGGCTGATAATTCACTAGGTTACTAGGCCTTCCTAATAGGTTACCAGGGCCCCTTTAAGTAAGGTGGTGGGGACGTGGATTACCAGGTTACCAGGGCCCCTTTAAGTAAGGTGGTGGGGACGTGGATTACCAGCTGAGCTGCTAAGGGCAAGGTCGGCAATTTCAATCTACAAACCACTCACTCCATGGGAGAAATACAAGGCTTTCTGTTCCCATAAAGACTTCTAGTCTTATAGGAAAATAATAGAATCTAGAGGCTCCACAAATTATTATTTACAGCGTCCCCAATATGTATTATACAGTTAATCGACATAGGAAAAGCCCAGTTCTCAAGAGAGAATGCAGTCAGTGGAGTTAATCCTGAAATAACTCAGATGTTTAAATTAGCAGACAATAGCCTTACAGCAACTATTACAACTGTGTTTAATAAAGTAAGAGTAACTACAGTTACAATGAGATAAAGAGGAAATCTCTGTAGAGAAATTTTATACAGCATGTTGTTGTTGTTGTTGTTGCCTTTAAGTGCCGTCAAGTAGGTTCCGACCCCTAGTGACCCTGTATAGGGTTTCCAAGGAGCAGCTGGTGAATTTGAACCACCAACCTTGCAGTAAACGACTTTGCAGTCTGACACATTAGCCCACAGTGCCAGAGCCATCAAATCGGTTCTGACTCATCGTGACCCTACACACAAGACTACCTGGTATGTATGTGGTATTGTAGGATAAGCACTGGACTGTTAATTGCAAGGTCGGTGGTTCAGACCCACCAGCTTCTCCTTGGAAACCCTATATAGAGTCACTATGAGTCAGAAGCGACTCCACAGCACACAGCAATCACAGTTCAATGACAGTAATTCCTGGTCCGGCACCTTCCACAGTCTTTCTTGTTTCAAACCATTGCTTCAGCCACTGTGTGACTCCATTTTGTTAAAGGTCTTCCTCTCTTGGCTAACTCTACACTTTACTACACAGGACGTCCTTCTTCAGGATTACAATGGCCAAAGGACTTTCACCATCCTTAATTCTAAGGAGCATTCTGGCTGTCCTTCTCCCAAGATAATTAAAAGGCAATATTTTTGTTGTTTAAAAAACAACCCAAAAAATTTAAAGTCTTGGAAATCTTTACAAGGTCGCTATGGGTCGGAACAGACTCAACGGCATTTAACAACATCGACAACATAGAAACTGTAGGATAAGCCCTGGGCTGCTAACCACAAGGTCAGCAGTTCAAACCCACCAGTCACCTCCATGAAGAAAGATAAGGTGGTCTACTCCTGTAAAGGTTGACAGTATTGGACCCTTTATATAGGATGGTTATGAGTCAGAATTGATTACAGTATTGGAACCTGAGATACGGTAGTTATGAGCCAGAATTCATTCAATGAAAGTGGGTTTGGCTTTTTTTTTTAAGTGGGTAGAGTTGTGCTGCTAACCAAAAGATCAACAGTTCAAATCTACTGGCCACTTGGTGGGAGAAAGATGAGACTTTCTGCTGCTGTAAAGATTGACAGCCTTGGGTTGGAACAGACTCAACAGCACACAACCACCACCAGAGTTTTAAATGGGGTCTGGTAGTGCAGTGAGTTAAGCATTGGGCTGCTAACTGCCAGGTCAGCAGTTCAAACCCACTAGCTGATCCATGGGCAAAAGATGAGGCCATCTAATTTCCTAAAGGGAATAGGGGGTGGGTCCATGGCCGCAGGCTGGGTAGACTTTCAAGAAACTCGGATGGCACACTGGGTTCAACACAGAGCTGCTAACGACATGGTTGGTGGTTCAAACCCATAAACTGCTCTGCAGGAGAAAGATGAAGTGCAGTCTGCTTCCAGAAACATCTACAACCCTGGGAACCCTCGGAGCCCTTCTCTGACGTCCCACTAAGTCACTGTGAGTCATAACTGACTTGATGGCAGGGTTTTTGTTTTTTGTAGGGTTTAAGCTGATAAATAAATAGATCTGGTTTCCTTTGACAGGTTCATTCAGGGTGCTGAAGGACAGAACTGGGGGAGGAAGGGGACAGCAAGAGAGAAATGCAATGACCCAGGCAAACCATGGAGGGACATGGAGCTGGGGTAGCAACCGCTGTACTAGGAGAACTCATTAAACCTAGATATGATTTGAAAGTAGGAACATGATTTCCTGGCAGATTGTGACAGGGGTGTATGTAGCCTTTCACCTTACTTATTCAACCTGTATGCTGAACAAATAATCTGAGAAACTGGGTTCTATGAAGAAACACGTGGCATCAAGAGTGGAAATTCATGGTCAGCCGTGTTTTGTAAACTGAAGCCCCTTGTTTGCAAGGTCAATTTCTGTAAGAATTAGCCAACTCTGTGAATGTTGAGTCAATTCCGACTCATAGTGAGGCTGTACAGAGCTCCTTAGGAGCAGCTCGTGGGTTTGAACTGCTGACCTTGTGGTTCGAAGCCCAGTGCTGATCTTACAGAGACACACCAGAAGTCCAAATATTAGCGAATCAGAAATACCCGGACTGTAGCCCCTAACTTGCAATGTTTCCGCTCATCAACCTCTGATTCTGCAGCTCCTTCAATCACTCGCCTTTCTGCCAAAATAAAACTTCCTTTGAACAGACCTCTAATTCTTTCTCTACAACACCCTGTTTTAAGGAACTACTGGCCTGACTTTACAAGCTAGTCTCCCGTTTTTCCTATTAGTATATTTAGCAAATAGACCCTGGTTTTCTTGGAACCTACATGACTTTTGTCTTCTTAGCTTCGCAGCTTTCTAAAAGAAAGTTTTTACAGAACCCTCCGCCCAGCAAGTGACAACCACCAACGATTTCAGGTAACCGGCAATTCTCTTGGTTCGGAGATGCTTTTAAAACGAAAACGAAAAACAAACAGCCCTCCTCCGTTGTCTGCAAGTATAAACAAGCATTGCAAACATCCGGACAGCCTCCACTGTGCCGCACGCCAGTAGTTCGCTCAAGCCTAAAGCCACCGAAGGGAAGAGCAGCGCAGAGCAACCCACAAACCCTGTCCCAACCTCAGACGCCTCGGCCGCACAGCTGCCTCTGCGCCTCCTTTAAGCAGACCCACGGGCGGTGCTTACGTCACTTATCAGGGGCGGAGCTTCAGGGCGGGGCCAGAGGGAATGGGCGGGGACGCCAGCGCCACAGTAGCTGCGCCGAACCTGGAACTGTGTACAGTGAACGCTGGGGGCGCGCCACGCGCGGGGCCGCGCATTCGGGTGCTGGGCTTCGGAAGCGGCGGCGCGCAGAGCTGAGCGCGATCTGGCGCCGAACCCTGGCTCCGCCCCCAGCCTGCGCTGCACCGCCTTCCGTAACGTCGCCCGCCTGGACTTGGCGAGTCCGAGTCGCGGTGGCCACAAGCAGGTAGGATGCCGCCCGAGATCAGTAAGTGTGGACTGGGCCCCGCCGTCCTCGGCACACTGCCCGGGCCCCCGCGTCCTTCGGCGCCTGTGGCGGGGGTCGCGGGCGGCCTGGCGGGGTCCCTGGGTGCAGGGAGGGTACTCACAGGCCAGCATCTGGTCCTCGGACCTCGGGGGTATCCGGCGGCGATCCCAAGCCGGGGAGACCCCCGAAGTTGGGTGCTGCAGGCTGGGCCTGGCTGAGAGCGCTTACCAGGAAGTGGCGCGTCCCTCAGGTGACCGGCTGAGACTGGTCCAGGGGGCTTGCCTCTTTTCTCCCCGGCAGGAAGTGCCTGCTACGTGTACGTCTCCGAAGACAAAGTGTTTGCCAGCTTCTCCCAGATGGAGAGAGGTGTCTCCAAAATGGTCTGAAGAACCTGCTCATTGCCACCAACAGTCCGACTCACAGTGACACTGTAGGACCGTAGAAATGAGCCCATGGGACTTCTAAGGCTAAGTCTTTAGGAGGGCAGACTGGAATGACCTTCAGTTTAGCAGGCAGATGCCTTAAGCACTGATCAACAAGATTCCTTAGTGGCGACCTTAAGGACAGTGATTTTCTTTGCCTTAATGTAAAGTCAATTCGGGTGTAGCGCTGTAGAATAAGCACTGGGCCACAAGCTGTAGAATAAGCACTGGGCCACAAGATCGGCTGGTGGTTCAGACTCTCCAGCTGCTCCTCCGAAACCCGATACAGGATCGCTGTGAGTTGGAAACCACTCTACAGCAAATGACATCAACAATAAGGTTAAGTGTGTCATCCTGAGGATTATCCACATTAACACCAATGCGCCAGACTGCAAAGCTGTTTGAACTGCTAGGTCGGCAAGCCAAGCTCACCAGCTGCTCCTCGGAAACCCTATACAGGGTCATTATGGTCGGAACCCACAACACAACAACAAAACCCCTCCATGGCTGAGGTTCATTTACGCACACTCCCCTTTAGTCCTGGTGTGGCGCTGTAGGATAAGCACTAGATTACTAACAATAATGTCAGTGGTTCAAACCCACCAGCCACTCCTTGGAAACCTAATACAGGGCCGCTATAAGTCAGAGCTAACTCGATGGCTCTTAACAGCAACGTGAAGTGTGTCAGCCTAAGGAATATCCACAGAACACTTAGCTTCCCGCTCCAAGGCCCAGTGCCATTTCTGCACATTGCCCTTTGGTATCTTAATTCTCAGACCCTTTCAGCTCCACATCTCCAGCCCTGTGCTGAGCAGGGTGAGGGAGCCATGCCCCGTCCACCTGGGGACCATATCCTGGAGTCCTTCCTGGAAGCTGGGTTCATTTCACCGAGTCCTCATGCTGTTCCTTGGTGCGCAGATTCTGATGCGGATTAGCTGTGTTATTTAGAAGCAAGGCTCTGAATTTGAGGAAGGAGACAGAGATGCTAATCATCCCTGCCTCCCTGGCTGCCCATGCCAGTGCTCACAGCCTCTCCCTTCTTGCTGGGCGCCCACCAACTCACCTCCTTGCTTCATCTTGGATATGCCTCACATCAGTCTCAGGCCTGGTCATTGGTATTGCTTTTACCTGGTTAGTCTTTCCTCAGAGCGCTGCAAGCCTTGCTCCCTGTCCACGTTTGTTTCTGTTTGGATATTACCTTACTAGAGGATCTCCTAAAACAGTGTCCCCTTCCCTGGCCACTACTGCTCAATGCTAGTAATAAATAAGCTAGCAAGCAGACAAGTGCCAACTTCTCATGGATCGTCAGCCTATATCCATAGTCTACCTTCCCCAACTAGGTTGTAAGCTCTAGGAAAGCAGCTTCATTCAATGCTTTGTCCTCAAACCTAGATGATGCCTATACAGTAGTGAGTCATTGAAAGCTCTTAAAAGCTGGCCGAATCTTGGAGATCAGAAGGAAAGTTTGACTGTGTGCAAGTATGAAAGCGGGGGCCCGTTTCAGATGGCTAACCCTTTCAGTTGTGGACGCCTCCTTTTTGACCACTCTACCGGTGTCAGAATACCCTTGCTGTCTTCCACTTGGAGCAACTCAGCCCAACAGTGCTCCTGCAGCTTGTAGAAAGGTGGTTTCCTGTTGTTTAGGTTCATCTCTAATTGCCACTTCCTGGAAAGGAAATCCTTTTCAGAACTAAGAGTGCAGTGTGATGGTGGCCATCTAGAAACATATATAGCTGTATTTATTTAATTGTACATTTAATATCCCTTACCTGAAACATCTCACAGAACTCACAACGGTCAAAGGAAATGGCTCACAAGGCTGACAATTCCCAGGCCAGAGTCTCAGGAGCCGATGACCCCACATTGTCAGGCTGTTGATGCCCAAGGCTTTAAGACCGGTGAATCAGGTCAGGCGATGGGCCACAAATCCCACAACTAGAGATCGGATGGCGATGAGGCTGCAGAGCCCAGAGCAAGGGAGCAAACTTGGCCACAGTATTCCTGTCTATTGAGTTCAGACCATGTCCCCAAGGGAAATGAAGAGCAGTGAGTTAGGCCACACCCTCTAGTGAGGTGGTGGTGTTTGGGTTCTAACTCGTAGTGACCCTCTAAAGGGTTTCAGAGGCTGTAAAGCTTTACAGGAGCAGAAAGACTCATCTTTCTCTTTTGAAGCTACTGGTAGAATCGAACTATTGACCTTGCGGTTAGCAGTCCAGCTCATACTCCACTATGCTACCAGAACTGCGTAGTCACAGCTATAGAGGCTAGGGTACACATCACAGAATGGGACATATGGCTAGAAGGGTCATAATAAACAGCCGGCTGCCTACAGCCTCCTTGGTTACTAGGTGATGTTTGCTTTTCGGGACTATTGTAAGGGGAAGGGATTTCTTCAGTTCCTTTTTAAGTTGTTCATTGATGGTTTGTAAAACCACAACTGCTTTTTGCTTATTAAATTGTATCCTACAACTTTGCCAACTTCTTTTATTAGTTCTGGTACTTGTGGAGTCTTTGGAACCCTCTATATATTGGTCTTGTTGTCTTTGTTAAGCACTGTGGAGTCCGTTCTGACTCTTAGTGACCCTGTATAGGGTTTCCTTGCAGTTAGCAGTCCAGTGCTTACCGCACAGTGCCACACCAGGACTGGATTATATGTTAGGACTAGAGAGAGTTTCATTTCGCCCTTCTTATTTAGAAAGCTTTCAGTTAGTTTTGTGTGTAATCACCCTGGCTGGGAACTTTCAGCACAATAGTGAATAGCAGTGCAAGTGGGCAGACTAGGGTCTCCTGTTCTTAGGGGGAATGATTTCTGTCTTTCGCCATTGAAACGACATGAATTGTGGGTTTTTCACAAATGCCTTTTAGCAGATTGAGGAGTTTCCCTTTTATGTCTACTTTGCTGAGTGTTTTTACCATGAATGGGTTTTATATTTTGTCAAATGCCTTTGACTGAGGTTAAGAATGAGATTCTTTTCATCTTTTTTATTAATGTGCAATAGTATATGGATTTTCTTACATTGAACCGTTCCTGCAATAAATCACAGTTCACCATGGGTCATAGTCCTTTTAATATGCTGTTGGATTCAGTTTACTAATATTTTTAAGGATGTTCTGCATCGAGTTTCATAATGGATGTCGGTCTGTGCTCTTCTGTCTGGCCTTATGCAAAGAGTAAAGGAGCTCTGCTAGGGTAGGGGTTGCAAGTCAAGCTGCTAACCTCAAGGTCAGCAGGTTGAAACTACCAGCCGTTCTGTGGGGAAAAGATGAGGCTTTCTGTTCCTGGAAAGTTTTAACAGTTGCGGAAACCCTATACAATGAGTGGGAACCGACTCCACGGCACACCACCACCACCACGGTGACCACCGTACAGACAGTAAGTGTGCCCGCCCGCCCACTCATTACTCTGTTTGGGCCCACCGACTTGAGCCGACAACCACAGTAACCATGGATTTCTACCACGTGGCTTTCTGACTTGCAGCTGCCGGAGTCTCCAGCTTCAGATAGTCCTACAGTTTGGTCAGAAATTCTCCGAGGAATCGAATCGTGATTCTCTTGGTTTTAGATCTCCTGAGAAGTCTGTTACTCACCCACCTTCCTAGCCCCCTCCCTCAGGCTGGGTCATGCAGACTAGAAAGTTCTTCCCCACAGACTAGACTCTTGTCTTATCTGCAGTCCTTTTGCCAAACAGGGGGTCTCTCACCCCCACGCTGAGCTACTGCCATCAGACGATGGCATGACCTAAGGAGAGGGTTTACCACCTGGATGCGCAGTGGGTCTTGCACAATTCCCTCCACCCTCCCAGAGAGCCGCAGAAATCTATGAGGAGTTGGGACCCTTGGATGCTGTAAAAAGCACCTTGCTTGTTGCAAGTTTACAAAGAGCGGGAATCCATCCCTTCTCTTTGAAACTGGCGTTCAGCTTCCAGCGGCGGTTCTTTCAGGCAGTTCGGTAAATGCCATTGGTCTCTACATGTTGTAGGTAGTAGCCTTTTGTTGCTCTCGAGTTCAAAATAATCAAGCTTCAGAGAAAGAGGGTTGAGCAGGACAGGACCTGAAGGTCAGTCTTTGTGTGCACCTGCCTGCATTAGAGTCCTGAGAGAACATTTAGCCCCGGCCCAAGAAATAAGAGTAGAGCCAGTTGGCTGGGATGTTGTTGTTGTTGTTGTGAAATGCCGCCGAGTTGGTTCTGACTCATAGCGACCCTGTACAGGGTTTCCAAAGAGGGGCTGGTGGGTTTGAACCATCGGCCTTGTGGTTCGCATTCCACTCGGCTGAGATTGTGGGAGGAAATACACAGGAACAGACGGGAGGCTGTTCCTGAGAGAAAACGTAATGATTCTCTGATTGATTGGCTGATTGATTATTATAAGGTTGAAAGAGAATGTGTTTAGAAATTCTCCCAGGTTCCCAGAAAGCTTGGGGACTAGTGTTGTCGTGAGCAGAGCCTAAAGAAAAAGGAAGAAGCCAACGAAAGTAACTAGACAGCGCAACCCATCCAGTTACAAAACCAACAGGAAAACTGCTGCATAGAACCATGCTGGCAATGCAGAGAAAATGGTTGTTTTGAAGACAACACAGTACGAGAGTTGGCACTGCACATGGTTAAAAGTCAGGGCCACGGGCTGCAATCATGACCTTGGCACTAGAAATTCCTCTGTGGTGATTTATTGGGGGGAAAAAGCTGGTGGAAAAATTCTGTTATCTTTTCATTCTATTTTTCAATGAAATCTCCTCATATCCTATCCCTGAAAATTGATCCATGATGATATCAAATAAAAGTATGTGGGTGGTTCTACAGTGGTGACCCCTAACCTAACCCTTGGACCCCTGACTCTGTGGGAAGCGAGGTTCCGGTTTTCTACCTGTGCAGACCCAGATACCCCTCCTGCTCTACACTGAGGAAACCCCCCTTCTGTAATGTTGTCGCTGAGGGAGAGCCCTGTGGAGCTGCATGAAGAA